TAGCTTCTTGTTCCTAGTAGCGATGCCAGGAGCCCCTAGTAGCTTCTCGTAAACCAAGTTTACTTGTTTGTTATCCCTCCAAGTGGTCAAGTCCCCGTGGACGCCCCATGACGCCTCGCCGCGCTCGTGGTTTCCACGGCGCCGGCGCCGGATGGCCGCCAACGGGTTCCTCAGTCGCTTTGGGCGATAGAAGCCAATAGGAGGGAGCCAGGAGGCAGCCAGTAGGCTTCAGTTGGTGCCGCATCTAAACGATATCATTAAGAGATGATCAGCTTTCCCAACCAGAGATGATTGAATCGCTGCCTCAATGCTCAATTGCTTCAACTCTTTCTGCTTCTTTTAGTCCGGTATTGAAACATATTGAAATCATGCCGGGCACACCCTGCTAAAGCACTGCCATCCTCCCCAACCGTGAGGTCTGATGCAAAGCCATCAAGATCTGCCTGTGCGCGTGCGAAATCATTTAGGGTAGCAATGAGTACTCTCTGACCTGAGGCCAACTAGCACTCTGACCTGTGTCTAGCCTATCCTCTTGTACCCCTTGCTTCAGCTAGCACCAGGTTTGGCCGACAAGGGCAAGAAAGCACACAAAACGCAGCTAAGGCGTGTGGAAAAGTTGCCTTGAATGGCAGAAGCCAACAGGTCGAGCCAATACCGAGGCCAGCCAAATCTTACTGGAAGACACTTGAAGCAACTCATCAAGCGGCCCATTGTTTTCACTCAGATTGCAGCTGGAAGGAGTGATGAGACAAAGGACCTGTCCGGTGGGCACAATCAATCCAATTTCGAAGGTGAGATGATATGTCAAATACGTTCAAAACATATCACAAGCAAAGCGACTTCGGAAAGAACCTAGACTCACATGGGGCATATGTTGCGTTGCAACTCTACATGCCACTAGGACATTGGATGCATAGGTGTGCACCTGCTGCTTGTCAACGAAGAAGCACAGGTCGAACCGCCGGATGAGGAACCCCAAACCTGCTTTGCTGCGAAAGCCGCTTCCGGACTGTGCACTGTATTCAACTTACAAGCAATGGCCTCCAACCTAATAGCGATAGTGGAATCCAAGCTTCAATATGATTCAGTCTTTCACTTTAATTGCATCTGTATCCATCTGCGAAACTCACCTGGCGCTTCGACGGGAAAAAGCCCGTCTGAGGTCTTCGAGAACTCACCTTACAAGAGAAGGATCATCCGCAGGAGCTTAGCGAAGTTCCTTTGCTTTTAAACTCTTTTCAGATGAATATAATGTTATACGAGTACGTCAATGCTCTTGGACACCATTTCGGTGGAGTCGTTTGGCTCATCGCATTGAATCATACGAGAGTCTGTATGTTCGTAGGACATATATAGGCTTTGATTACCAAGGTGGTATCGACATATGAGTACTTGGTGCGCACAGCGTGGACGTCGAATATGCCCCCAACGTCACCGAGCTGCAAATCGCAACCAACAAGCACCATGATAGTCTCACAACTAGTTAATCACTGAAACCCACTGAAAGACCCAAACGTACGTGTGTGTGTATATATATATAATATCTGTGTGTGGCGTGTGCGTGTGTGCGTGTGCGGGCTGCCAGGCTGTCTGTACATTGAAATGTATATTGTCTTCTTGGAAGGAAGCCTGCAAATGACCTTTATGTAATAGTATACTACAAAATGTAGACACCACAAAGGTCCAATTTGCGCATCACCTACACACACATATATCATATACACACACTGTGCACCTGTCTGGATGATCTGGAGGTTCTGGAAGTCCAAGATCCCCTCAGGAAAACGGCACCGGGCCAAATTCCTTCATTGGACACGTCAGCCAATCTACTTTGTGCTGGTAAAGAATCAATTCTAAGGCAACTTGTGGAAATGCTACAATAATCTGCAATACACCTAAACACAGTACAGGGTGACCAGCTTGGTAGCAGACCCAGAGCGATCGCGCTTGACAGACTCGATCACCAAATCCTGGCACGGTGCAAAGCCCATTGAACGGTATCATTCCTCCGACCTAGTGTTTGAAACTCCCGCGCATATTCATGTACAGTACAAAGAGATCTTGAGGCACTATGAGTAGCACGTTGATGCATTTTGTCGTTTGCACTATGAGTGGCACGTTGGTACATATTTTCTTTTGCGATACTAAAAGCTTCCCAAAAGATCAAAGCAGCAAACGGTCTGCCGCGTCTGCCGGATAGGCTTGTCAGCCAACTCAGCTTCCCGGTCCAACCAGGATGGCCGAAGGCATGGTCGACCAGCTGGAGCGGTTTGCGACATGGTCCTTGCGAAAGTCACTGGTCCTTGGGACGAAGGAACTTCCTGTCTGTAAAGCAATGGCTCATTGCTCTTCTTGCGACAGCGGCAGCGAGGAATTCGTCGACGTTTCCTTCGAAGAACAATGAGGATTTCAGCCATGAGGTAGCACAAGCCAGCCCCCAGCGCAAACAAATAAAGGACAAAGACCAGCAAATCTGCAGGTGTCCGGCGGATTCGTCCTACTTGTTGAGGAAGTGCAGTTTCAAACCGATCAATCATTTGGTTTGAAACCAATGTCAATGGCTCATTGACATGATGCAAAGCGGCTTTGACAGCCAGGAATATGTGATGAAAAATCATCTCCAGAAAGCGGGCAAATTCCTTCTCCATCTCCTGAGAGGTAGCTCTTGAACAGTGCGAACGATTGTTTGATCAATATGCTACGAGTCATTATGAGGTCAACAGCATGGAGAAAAGAATGCTTGGCCTTAAAGGTTTATGATCCCAGCACTAGATTCCAACAGACTGCAACCAACCTGTGTTCACAGTTTGCAAAAGGCAAACCGAATCTAATCCTTGTGAAGGCTGATTGATTTTCTGATCTTTTTTGATCCAGTCTGGCTCTCTTGAACTGAGAGTGCTGGATTTGGCAACCTCTGGAGTCTGAGGTTCTGCATCAACTGCGATGCACAATTATATAAAGCATGTTTAAGCCTAGAGGAAGCTTAATAGGGGAAAAGAAACATTTTCTGCGAAGGTCAGCCAAGATTCGTGTATACCAACTATTCTGCAAAGGAGTCGCAGAATGCCCCTGCAAGGCCAAATGACCGGGGCCGCTAGGCTCAAAGCAAGGGAGAAAAGATGCCAAATGATATCCGAGAAGAACATGAAGTAGATGGTTGTGAGCAAGTCAGCTGTCTCATACCTCACCGACAGTCATGTCAATACGTACACTTACACAAAAATTGGAAGCAGGTAATTACACCGAAAAATGCGTTGCTGTAAATCTGCAAGTACGAAGCTTCCTTTCCAGCACCAAAGGTGGGCCTGCGACTCCGTTGATGAACTTGACACAAAGTATGTTGATGGGGGGTGCCTCGATCAAAATACGCCTCCGAACGTCTCCGTCCCTTTCAACTTTCTCACCGTGGCACAACATCTCTGCCGTAACCAAAGGAGTTTGTCCAGCTTGCACTGAAGAGTCTGGTGCTGATGGCACTGGCTGATCCTTGGCCTTGGAGTTAATTACTCCAATTGTCAGTGTCTCAGTGCAGTTGGTCACGAACTGACTGGTATAAAGATTACTGACAGCAAAGGAATTGCAAATCAACGTAGCAGGCAGTAGTACGGCTTAACTACAGTACAGTGAACTGAAGACTTCCCAAGATGCCCAGTAATCATTCAAACCTTGTTCAAACCGATGGTATTGACGAGCAGCCGAACGCTCGCCTGACTCGCCTGTAGCTGTTGAGTTTGGCATAGGCCAAATGTCAGAGCCCAATAGCAAAGGGCCATAGAGCAATGGAAGAGCAGAAATCACCAGTATCCGAAGTGCACGAACGCAATGCTCCCCATCTGAGGACCCCGGCATTGCTGTTAAGCACTGGATGTGCAAAAGATTCCAGAGACTGACTGTTACTAGTACGTGTTACCCAGTTTACTGAAGGAAATGCTTGCCAATATTGGCAACAGAAGAACTATTGCATTGCTCTCGCCTGCTTTGAGGATGTAGCTGTGGCGAGCTGTGGCTCTGAAAATCAGACTTTGCCGAGTGCAATCTAATTGACTCACATTTGATCTTAAACGCAACAGGGGTACAGCATTGCTAGAGTTCTGTGGGAAAAGGTTAACCAGAATTCAAGACAGTCAATCTTGCTGAAGCAACTCCTGCGCATGTAAGGGCGATAAAACAATGATGCAACTGTTTACTCTAAAACCATTCTGTCAATGGAGGTTCATGGATTGCTGGCTCCTCACCCTGAAGACAACTGGACTTGACTAGAGACATGTACAACCAAAGGCTCTCCAGGAACAATCTTAGAAGAACAAACAGGCAAACCAAAAGCAAGGGTCCAGTGGTTCTATCATTGCCATTGCTACTTCGATCTACTTAGGAGTTTCATAGTAAACGCACCCTCAGCCCGCTTTAGTAACAAGTGCATCGCTACTAGTAGCTAGAAGCTACTAGTCACACATACTTTAGTTAATAGAAACCTTGCTCCGTCTTGCCTGCTCGGACGGACCATTTGCCTCTCGATGCTCAATGAACCGGCATGTGCTGGGAAAAGCTCTGCAAAAATTACAGTATCAACCCTAGTTGCATGTAAGCCTTTTGAGTGCCTGTTTGCACAAGCCAGTGGGCACACCAAAGGCTGCAAGACACATATTGCCTGCTAGATTGGGTCACTGATGGCTTCATCAACTACACAATATCACTGCCGCTAAGTGGTGGTGCAAGAGTGCAGTGGTCTAGATCAGTCATGTTTTTTCAAAGAAACATATATATATATATTGTCATAACTAAAATTAAAAATATGTAATGGGCAGTAAAACAGAGTTACACATAATTCAAAAATATACAAACACAAAAAACCATACATAAGAAACCTGCTGAATAGCATGAACAAAACAACAATTGCAAAAGAGAAAATGATGCGAAGTGTGGGAATAGGCCTCCACTGATTTGAGAATTGTGGGGTGTGAGAGCAACTCGGTTAGATTCCGATTTGAGTAGATTATATAATTACGCCTCCAAAGCCTTGAGGTTTCTGGGGTGGAAGGGTCAAATAGGTTTGATGCGCGTGTTTGAAATAGTTGGGAAGGGTTTGATTGAAACGGAAATGCTTTGCATCTTGGGGGTCTGAGTTCTTGGGGTAGCCGGCGGCCTGATTCCAATTATACAAAATATTATGTCATGACAGGTATATGGTTATTTTGCAAAAGAGCTAGCAATCAAACAGTATTTGTGACATTCTCTGACGCACAACTCTGTGATGACCCACACAAACGGAAGTCTCTTCTGGCATGACGATTTCGAGAAGATTCTCATGCTACAAGGGCATTGCTACTAGTATCAAGAAGCTACTGGTAACTACTAACGAGGGCAACTCTGTTTGACGCGTCTTCGTCTTTCCGTTTGGAGCTCGGCCTCAGTCTCAGAAGGCTGGGCTAAGGCCTTGATCCCAGCAGTTTGGACAAAGGACCCAGGAACGAAAGGACCTCGTGTTGTGACATGTTGTGACCATAGAGAATAGGAGAAAGGACTCCTCAAAAGGGGCACAAGAGATCAGATTGTGTGACCTAGTCATGCATTGTTCCATTGACCTGCATCTTCTCCCGTGATCAAAACGTGTGTCACCTTCAACTTTAGTCTTGGAATGTCTTGGAGTTGGAATCATGTGATCAGAACCCTTCAACTCCTCTAGGATCCCTAGTAGTGGACAAGCACCCTATGAAAACAAGCCTGAAATATGAAGCGCAGGCAGTGATCTTGGGTCACCCAGGCCGCGTTCTCACGGAAGGTGTCCACGGCGCTGCTACCAACCTTGAATCCGACCATCCAGGCGATGCATCAGCGAACTAATTGGGACTTCGAGTTTGGTCTAGTGGGTTCAACAAGACATAGCTACTCCTGGCTTTGGTAAATTTATGTTAATTTATTATGGAAAACTATTCTTAGCCACACGAAACTGTTGGGTTTGCCAGACGAGCAACTCAGCCAGAGAGAGAGAGAGAGTGAGGAAAAAAGTAAGGCCCGGCCCTCTTCAATTAGGTCCTTCAAAGGGGCCTGATTAAAGGAGGCCTTATATTTAATATACCTTCTTATTCTCCTCCTCACTTCCCTTCTTTGTTCGCTTTTGATGATATCACCAAAAACTTCAACGCAGTGTATACGTCTATGGTAAAACCCTGTACTGCTCTGCTTCCCTTGAGTTCTTGTACTCCACTCATCCTCAGCTCGATGCTGCTGCAATTGGCTGCACCTGACTTTGCTCTCAGGCACTGAAGAAGCTGGATACAATCATCTCTTCAAAGCAAGCTATATATTGACATTGTTTACACGTTTACACAAGAGAACATATTGAAGCTCTCGTCTACTCTGTACCAATATATGTTCCACTACATACTGTTCTGCTACGTACAATCGATATTATATATATATTAATATTATATATTTATGTTTACACACATGTGTCGCCAACCCTTAAACTTACAAACGCCCTCTTGCTCGAACAACTTGGTGCTCTCGATCGAAACAGTCCTTGCCTGTGTCTTGTCGATTGTTGGGCTCTTGGATGCCTGGCTCGGCTCTAATGCTGAGAAAGGAAGGAGTTTATCCTTTTGCAGTGCATTGGTGTCATCAAAAGCTGGTAAGCCGATCTAGTTGGTGCCGTACACTCTATCAGAATGAAAGCGAAGGGCAAATTGGAGCCAATCTCATTCAACCTCCATAAGAAATCATAAGAATATAGTATATGTCCGCCCAAGTCATCCCCGTTTCGGAGGGCGTACCCCAGCACGCCGACGAAGCTTCTGAATTGCACAATCACCTGATGATGATGAAGCTTTTGAATTCATCACAGTCTCGAATCCAGTAACAATGCCCTTTGCTTTGACTCTACTGCCCATGCAAAACGAATTCTGCAGCCGTCTTCACGATGCATTGAACTTGTCAAACCTAGCGGCCTGCATGTTCACCGGTTGAGATCCGTACCACTTTCGTCCTCCACAAGACCGCCAAGCCGAGGTGCTTCCACCTGGAAACAAACATGTTAGACCGTGTTTAAATCATGTGTAGACATGCTAGCGGTGCTAGTCCCCTTCGAAACAACAAATTCTTTTCAGGAGAACTCAAGAAACCACACATTCACACATGTTGCATACTGAATATGCATTAATATGCGGATTATCCATGATTGTCCTGTTCAGATGCCTCCGCTAGCAGCGTGCAGGATCAACAGCTTGGCGCAGAGTGACGTGTTGCAGTGATAGATCCCAAGCTTTCTAGCAGCAACATGATGATTGAGAGTCACATGCAATTATCCTCCGTGATCCATGCTTGTGCCAAACCCCATGCTTTGATCGACCATTTCTGAAGATCTGCGGAGTTCATTGATTCAAGTCTTGCCAGAGGGTACCTCGTCTCCGATGTAAAACTCCTCCTGCGCATTGCTGTCCTGGATGTGCACTCATGCAAGCCAACCAATGGTGATGTCATGTTTCATTTATATACAATACTTCCCACACATTGCGTTACAAATCAATTAGCCGCAGCATCAATTCTTGCCCTCCCCAAACAAATGTCCGGGCTGAAAGGCTTGAGCGGTTAGGGATCTGAAAGGGCTGCACTGCTTTGTAGTTGGACTAGTCTGTGTTAGGACTCGTTAGGACTCTACGATTTCGTAAGGCGCTCCAAGCCAGCATCATCTGCAGAAAGTGCGTACACATCTCCCACCTCCCCGATGTAGAACTGCTCATGCGTTGCCTCACAGGCGTTGGTCCACAATCTGCCGACGGACCGACACAGCTTTCAGTTTGGTCGTCTCGGCCTCTTGGAGAAGCTTCGAAACGCCTTTGACGGAGCCAAGGCCGAAGGGAATCGAGCAAAAACAGAAAACATCATCCCTGTGCCTTTGCCTTTGTTCCCGTGCTTTCAGATACTTTCCGAAACCCTTCTGATTGCATTCTTCGAACTTCAAAACTATGCAAAACGGTTGACTCTATACTGAAATTTGTCGTTCGTTCGTTCGTTCGTTCCTTCTGAAAGGCATCGAACAAGAGAAGCTAGACTAGAGAGTGGAAAACAAACTTGCCGAGAACTGGTGGTAAAATGTTCTCTATTGGCAACTGCTTAATCAATGCGTCCCTGAGCTTCTGTCTCGCGAGCTCCTCTCTGGCCAGCTCTTGATCCACCAGGTCCTGCAGGTTCCGTCATGACTTGATTGATGTGAATGAGATAAACATGATCAGTGGTCAATGGTAAAACAATGATTCAACGTTGAGTCAATTATAGTATATAGTCGTCTAATTAGTTAATTGTCTTCAAAATCCAGACTAGGTTCCCTTGACCAAGTTCTCAAAAACACAACAGGTTTGCGCAGGCTCTCATATCTGGTTGATGGGCTTTGAACAACCTACATATTGTATATATATATATATATGGCGCCCCCAAAAAAAAACCTGTTCACCCCACTTTTGCTGGTACTTGCAATATTTTGTGTCTATTTTTGGCGGCCTTTTGGACCTTAGTTTTTGGTGTACCATATATATTTTTTTTTTTGGTGCACGCACGTAGGTTGAATGACTTGTTTGTCCACTTTGGAAGGAATGCATTCAGAATGCATTCAATGCATTCAGAATGCATTCTTGATCAAAACCAAGATCCAAGATCCAAGATTCCCACAAGACTCCTGGCTAAAATCTT